TGTTCACTGTAAATTCTTTTTCATAGTCACCCTCCTCCTCATTGATTATACAGCCTACCTATAGTTTATATTCGTAACCAGTCGCCAGTGTCTTTTGTCCCACTTTGTCTCTCCACTCTCACTCTGCTCTTAAACAGATATATTCCGAATGAGACAGCGTTCCGACACCTGCTGCTCTCTTCGCCGGGCTGGGTGAGGGTGAGAGCGGGTGAGGGGGACTGGGAGGAGGAAGGAGGGGGTCTCGGTGGGCACGTGGGGGCACTGGGCTGTGGAAGACTGGCATCACGGCTCCAAATGGAGACTTCAGAGCACCGGCTGTCCGCTTGATTGCTTTGCCACCTCTGCATCTCTGTGTCAGTTTTATCCTCATATCAAACAAGCAGCGGCTCATACGCTCCTCTGTGCTGCAAATGCAATACGGGATTCTGGCATGGGCATGTTTTTCATTTAGGAATTTGTGTTGGATTTGAATTAAAAGATTTTTACTGTCTTTTTACATTTTAGATTCTTTGCAGCAGTTATTCCTCACTTTCTATTATCTTTTATCTGTTTTTATTCAACACAATGAGTTTATAAGAACTTTTCACAACTTGCAGAGACATCACATTAATCTAACAATAAGCATGCCTACAGTGCACCAGCCTTACTTCCTGGTTCACATACTATAAAAACACTTTATAATTAGATGAATGAGGACATGAATTAGGTGCTTTTACAGTATATTTGTATTAGAGTAAGACACATTTTACTTTAATACCTGAAAATAATTAAAGCTCCCTTAATTTAAATTTGCCAAAGTTTGTCAGGAAATTGTGGTAGAGTTATAATTGGAAAAAGTTGGTAGTTTTATCCCAGTTTGATAAGAGCATACAGTTTATGTGTCCTTAGGGAAGACCATTTTTTCCGCGTTCACTGATATAAGTTACTTGTAACGCTGTAGACGACCAAGTATATTGCATATTTTTTGTGTTCATAGTCAGTCAAAGTCTATTTTTATTTAGTTTATTTTTATTGCATGCCAGGTCTTGCAGTTTTTATTGTATCATAGTTTATATTACTATTATTATTCATTGTTTTATGTTGCACCATAACGCTGAAGTAAGTTCCCAGTTTGTGAATTTTGTTCCCTGGCAATGGCAATAAAATTTATTCTAATAAATTCTTGGTCGATTGAAGACACGCTTTGTCCATCAATTATTTGACTAAAAGAGAACGTGGTGTGGTACTACTTGAACAGAGTACTGAAAAGACAGATGACACTGTCCAGTTATTCCCAAATATGTACTTTATTCACTCCATACCTTCTCCTGGTCTATATAAATCTGATGAGCTTAATAAAATAATTCATTGCCTTAGCTGATTCACTGACCAATGAATCAACTAAGCACCAAGTTCTAAAGCCCTAGTTATTTGTTTTGTTTTGCCATTGTGGCTGATATTTAATGTAGATGGGAAGATTTTATGATATGTTGTATTTTTAGACACCTCTTTAGCTTCATTGCTTTTCTATTTCCATTTGAAATCACTTGTCCAAGAAGAAACTGTGGGTACAAAGAGACTATATTTGCCAAAAAAGCACCAATACAGATTTTTCTGTTCCTATACTTTAACTTTAAGCATCCAGCACCAGGGTATAGACTGAAAATATAATTAATTTGTGGTGATCCGATCCATCAAAATGTTCAATATCAGTCCGTGATTGGGGTGATAGTGTTCCCCGCGGCACTTTATAGTTAGGGTGCCCGCCTTGACAAAAATTGCCCACCGCCTTGACTACATCCCTCTGAACTACACGAATCCTTGCAAAACTACTTTTGTTGCGCCCTGGTCATTACTTTCACCTTTCGCTGGCATGGAATCTCCGTACATACCGAACTGTGATTTTTGTGTATCGTTACACCCCTTGAAAATACCAGTATTAGCTCTGATGTACTGTCCATGTTTAGACGGTAACAACTCCTTTTTGAACTACTTACCTCTCCTCCTCTCTGTTTGACTACTCTGTTCCTTGACCCACATTCGCCGTCCATTTGCCCCTAATCAACCAGCTCCTCTCCTGTGCCCTGTGGCGGTATGACTCTCCACGGTTCAGTCCCGGTCGTGTTTGCGTGGAGGTAAGGGGAGGGGTGAGGGGGGGTGAGGGGGGGCGTGACCTGCGGGGCATCCGGGCACTGGTTGTAGCGGGTTATTGGCTTTGACGCTGGCCAATAGTGACAGGGCTAATTGTCACCATGTGGGGAGTGGTTCCATGCCCCCCTCTGCTCGGGCTCCAGCGACCTGGTCATCTGTTGTATCATGTCATGGGGAATTAGAGGCAGATGAGAGCGAGAGAGAGAGAGGGACATGGAGAAAGGGAGGAGATAAAAAGGGAGAGAGAGTGGCGGGGCATAAGAGTAAGAGGGGTCGTCCCACCTTTGTAACTGAGGGCAGTGTTCTTTTCTTTATTTAGTTTCAGTATTAGTAGTAGGCCGATGGTCAAAAAAGTTGACTTGAACTTGACTTGAATCTCGAGCAAGACATATAAAGACATATTTTGGTAAATTCTTGATGCATTGTTAAAATTTTAGGTGTGTAACAGTACACAAAAATCACAGTTTGGTACTTACCTTGATTTTGGTTTGGTTCATTTTCTGTATAGAATGGGAACAAAATGCAAAACCATTTGCTTTTTGTTTATTTGTGTTTTTATTAAACCAACAATTTGTTTTAACATTGTACAAACAGGAAAATAAAATAAATGCAAAATGCAGCTTGGTCATACTAATAAATTAAATAAATGATTCTCAAATAAGCAACAAATGTATGCAATATTATAAAAAATGAATTCCTTTTAAACAGTAAACAAAACAAAATTGTTGTCAAGGCGGCGCCCTAACTATAAAGCACTTCAGAAAACACTGCCACCCCAATCACGGACGACTTCCCTCGTGAATACTAAAGAGCCAACCCTTCCGTGTAGCTGCATATGTGGTGGCGGAATGTAAACACACACAAATTGCATGAATTCACTCATGTACACCCGCACACTGAACCGAACGTCCTGTATTGAAACGGTTCGGCAGGAATACATGTACCGTTACACCGCTATAAAATATCATCTGAGTATCAGGATCAATATAATAGAAATAATATTGTGTTATTCATCTTTGTCAATATAACCTTTTACATTTTACATTCCATTATGCAGCTACCCTGAGATTTAAAGTGCATTGTGTAACTTTTCTTGTGGAGGGTCCGTTTAATAATTTTCTCAGTGGAAATGCTATTACTTTGTCTGGGATGCTTCACAGTATGGCATTAAATCTTTCTATCTTCATGTAGACTGAACTAGATCGAGTTACAGGTCAGATTTGTGGAGAGGCAGCCCTGTTCACAGTCAGAATACCTGTTTTTCTTGGTATTTTTGATCAATAAGAAACGCTATAATTGAATAAATGTAAGGTAGAGCTGTTTAATGTCATACTGTGGAACATTCCAGGCAGAGGAATAACATCTCCACAGAAGCAAGCACATAATGCACAAGTTACACAATGCACCTTTAAGGCTGGGCAATAAGGCAAAAAAATAAATAAATAAAAAATCCTCATACTGATTGATTTTGATTTAATTTCTTCTTCTCAAAAACACAATGATTTCATGGACAATAAAAAGGCTTTAAATCAGTGCCAGTTTACACAAAAGTAGCCAAATGTATTCCACTAAAGTCCAAACTCTGCTCCAAAACACATGCTTTTACTGACAGAGGATTATCTGTGGACCCAAGCTGATCATTGACGATTAGAAATGACTGAATCTTGATCTTGATTCAGATTTGACTCATTTGCTCGGCCGTACCTGGAATAGACTGCTGGAACAGTTCTACCATTCCACGGACATTCGCTCTGACTACCAATCAATCCCAAAAGTCGTGCTCAAACTGTTTGGCCTTAATGATACATGAAACCCTAGTAGTTACATAAAGAATAACGACATGACAATAGAGATTTAACAATAACCAAAATATCGTGATATCGTATCGTCAGAAGTCTTACAATAATATCAAGAGCTGTCAAAATATATAAAATTATAAGTTCCTTTGCTTAAATGCATTGTTCTTTAGTAGGAGCAGCTTATAAACACAGGGAACTATGTGTCCCATGATTCATTGCAGAACAGACAACATAAAGAAATATGTTTTTTAATTGAATTCTTGGGATTATGACGGAAATAATTCACACCAAAATCTTGACAAAGTATTTTAAAAGCAAAAAAGTGTCCTATCTAGAATTATATTGTCCACTCAAAAATATTGCAATAAATATCGTACCTTGAGAGATTTGAATATCGTTGCATCCCTACTGATATCGTATCGTCAAAAGTCTCACTATAATTTCACTGGCTGTCACAATATATCAAATCAAAATGCATTCTTTTGTTGCAGCAGCTAAAACAAACTGAAAACTACATAGACCATGTTCCTTTGCTCCATTTCAGTGCAGACGGCAGGAAGAAATAATAATATTGTTGATAAGCACTTTGTTTTTTTGGATTATGATTAATAATGATAGTAGTATTGACTAGTGATTTGCACCTAAGTCATGTGAGGGGATTTAAAAAGGCAAAAAGTAGCATTCTGTTAAAAGTCTTGCAATAAATATCGTACTTTGAGATGCAAACCGTGGTAATATTGTACTGTGAGCTTTCGTTATGACAATAGAAAGAACATTTTAACATTGACATATGCTTGCTCACAAAATATACATTTAAATGATACCCATAAATTGTATGAAAAAATGGTGGAGAACATCAAGACCTGACTTCATATCAAAATCACATTTGTCTCATATTGAAATCTTGCTCATAATATTGTGTCTTGTCTTATCAGAGTACAGAGGTATGACCATATTGGGTTTATGTAAAATGCAATATGACCAGTTATGAACTACATGGATATTAAATTAAAGAATCACATGTTGTTTTTGCCTCCTGTTTTTAATCCCATTTGTCTTTTCATTTTTCAGGAAAGCGATAACTTGTGGTGGGATGCCTTCGCGACTGAGTTTTTCGAAGAAGACGCCACCCTCACGCTCTCCTTCTGCCTCGAAGATGGACCAAAGAGATACAGTAAGAGCGTCCTCCTATGCTCCTACGGTACTCGGTGCACAACAAATGGCAAATGGAACTACGCAATCATTTTTTTTTTTTTTTTAAGAATTTCATTTTCGCTCTACTCGTCTGCTTTTGATAAGCGGTGCGCTCTAATGATGATAAATGGATGTGTAGCCGTTGTGTCATAGAGGCCCATCAAGACAAATTATAGTGTGGTAGTTACTGAAGGAAGTTGATGATTTGGGGGAAGAAAGTTTGGCTTTCAAGGAAGCTTTTAAAATGACATGTTCGTTTACATGAATTTTGACTAGTTTTTCTAATTTACATTGTTAGTACAGTTAGTAGAGTTTGGGCAAGTATAGGACTGTCACGATATCAACTTTGAAGTCTGATATGTTGCTGAAGTAAACGAAAAACCCACGAGCAGATTTAAACTACAAAAAATTCTAAATGTACAATATCGTAAAAAAATAATTTACCTGTAATAAACTGTAATGAATAAATAAAAATCCCTCAGTGAAATCCCTCAGTGGTCCAGGTAGGATCCATAACAAAGAAGAAATTAAATTCTGTCAACTGGACTAAAGTTTTTTGATCGATGTAAATAGGGTGTACATTCTTTGCTATACAAGACCTGTAATTGTTGCATATAATTATAATATTTTAGTCAGTCTTATCTAGGGATGTAACAATAACCAAAATATCGTGATATCATATTGTCAAAGTTCTCACAATAATATCGTGGACCATCACAATATATCGAATTATCAGTCTCTTTGCTTAAATTAAGTGTTATAGTGCAGCAATAAAGGGCACTACATAGACCATGATCCTTTGCTCCATTTCAGTGTAGATTACAAGAAGACATAACAGTTCTAAGCACTTTTAAGTCTTAGTTCTTTGGATAAAGTCTTGTCAAGGCATTTTAAGACGAAAAAGTCCCAATTAACAGTTTTGTTTAGCTACATAAAATATCGTACCGTGAGATGTATATCATGAAAATATCGTACTTAGAGATTTGGATATTGTTACATCCCTAATCGTGAGCCTCCCCACCATATCGTGAGCTTTTCCACGATATCGCAATAAATATTGTACCGTGAGATTCATACCTTGACAATATCGTATCGTGAGACTTGGATATCGTTACACCCTTAGTCTTATCTAAAGATAAAATTCAGGTATAATTTTTTGCCACAACTATTTTTCTGAATATGAGGTAATAATATTTTGTCAGAGTAAACTAAACAATAAAAATAGGTAAAAACTCACCAGGCACTTTTTACTAGATTTAGGTTTCATTTATTTTTCACTTTATTTTCGCTCTGTAAAAAATAAAGCTTATTAAATTATACAATAGAATGTGATGGATGGTTACCAAAAACCCTCAAGGGGCTTAGCACGTGGCAACCGCCATATAAAACGACTATATTTATCTCTAATAAAAACCGTACAAAATACACATATTTGGAAGCATTTTAAAAACTCATTGTGAAAGCTATATAATTATTTGAGCCACTAATTTTTGGAGAGAAATTTATTACAGTTTAGCAAAATATCTGGCTACTCTACTCACTAAGAAACTCTTTTAGTTAGAGGTGTGCTCAGTTACTTTTTTTTGAGTAACACTGTAAAGAAATTGCACCATTCTAGAGGATACTTTTACTCCTATTTGAGTAATATTTTTATTGAAGTAATAATACTCTTTATTTGAGTAAACAGTTTGATTACTCTTCCTTCTGTGAGCAAGTTTACAAGTGACAAAAGCTTTATGTTGACAATATGACACGATTTGAACATTTTTGTGTCTATCCTTTGAAAATACCAGATTTTTGTGTAGCATTTAATATTTAATGTTTTGTCCTTCAAATTACACCACATTTTGAACTCAGATTTTGAATTATAAATCAGATGTTATGCCCTGAAAGTTATGCTTTAATTTACTTTTACTTGAGTAGTAGTTTTTAAAAATCTCTTTGACCACTACTTACTTCTACTAGAGTAATATTTACTTAGTAATAATATTTACTAGATAGTACAATTTCTCAATTTAATCCACCTCTATTTAACCACTTCAAACTCGCTGTACTTGATTAAAATGATTGTGTAACACGACACTAACTCCACTTCTCAAACACTTCTTTCTCCTAGCTTACATTTGTCCCTTTAACTCCACTTATTGTCCGCGTCTTTATCCTGCTTTTACCCATCCAGTGTCAGGCAGAAAATTGCTATCTCTCTCTCTTTTAACAATAGTTTTCATTTCGAATGTGATTGTTGAACAAGTGTGCGGTATCACACGTAACTACCGGCAACCTTCTTGTCTGCATTTCATCAGAGGGCTCTATTGTGGCTTTTGAAATAAATGTACCTATAAACTCTCAGCGGGGAAAATAGTCAAATGATTGGGTATATCTGCGCCGGTACACTTAACAAAACATTGGCTTTGTGTCAGTGATAGTGCAGTGGACAGGAGGGAGTGTGTGGGTGGGTTTTTATAGTTACAGAAATAGAAAAGAATACTGTAAATGTGGTCGAGTTCATGGTTAATGGAAGCAAAAGTTTGTCCGACTTTAAAAATGAGACACGTATTGTGCATATTCATAGCAGTACTAAAAATAAACGTACATGTAATTAAATGGGGTGTGATAATGACAAAAAACGAAAGGTGCACTGTGTAACTTTTCTGTTGGAGGGTCTGCTACGTGCTTGTTTCTATGGAGATATTATACCTAGAACAACGGAAAAAATGTGTTTCAATCAAAGGTGTTGCTTGTAAAACAGACTGAGTGAAAAAAATCTTAAGCTTCAAAATGTGTTTAAAATAAATGCTAAAAAAGTACAGACCTAACCCTGTATGATTTGTGCACATGTTTAATATCATAAATGCACTGATAAGACACTGGCCACGTTTACATGATGTTTTTAATTCTGTATTAATTGTTCTGATTTAAATAGTTCGAAATTAAAATATTCTCATTTGAGTTTACGTGGAAATAATAATTCCAAATTGAGGTTTACATGGAAAACACGTTAAATCGCCTTTATTTAATTCCGCTCCACGTCTGGGGGTCGGGAAGGGTTCTGATTGGACAGGGACACAAATGAATTTACATCTACCGGGAGAAAACACACACTTCAGTTGCTACAGGCTTTTTTTTGTCATCTCGTTTGCCGTTACGCCACGGACACAAACATGACACAAACTTTTTTCATAGTCGTTCTGATGATAATTAGTTACAAGCTGGAGAGAGAGGAAAAAGCCCTCAGCCCACTCCCACATCCCGCTCGCAAATCCAAAGAGCAGTGGATGAAAGTCCGAAGCGAGGACTGGTGGAGCCGGTATTGTCAGGATCACATTAGAAGGGCGACCCAATGAGCATGTGATGAACGACCAGAATTATTTTTAAGAAGAGTCAACATTTACATGATCGGGGAATGAATTAATGTGGTTTTAAAAAATTGAAATAAACCACCCACTTAGTTATGAATTAAATTTAATTCCAAATAATCATTTTCATTAAGTGTTTACATGCTCTTTTTAAAACTGAATAAATTTTTTATCTGAATTAAAACTCTCATGTAAATGTGGCAAATGTGAATCTGGGTGGAACAGTGCAGGAGCTTCGGAGTGTTTTCCCAAAGTTTCTGTATGTGATGAAAATTGAAGAAAAGTAGAGAAGGAGAAAGTGAGAGAGAAAGTTGGTGAAAGATAGCGAGAATGAGTGGGGAAAAATGCAGAAAGTGAACGATGAAGGTAGAGAAGAGAGTGAGCGAAAGACAGAAAACGAGAGAGAGACAAAGAGAGATAAGGGAAAAAGAAGGTGAGATGAAGGTAGGAAAAATATAGGAGAGAGAGAGAGAAAGGAAAAAGTGGAGAGATAAAGAAATTTAGAGAAGGAAACAAGGAGAGAGAAAGAGAGATGGAGGAAACGAGACAGACAGAAATGAAGAAAGAGAGAAAGAAACAAAATGGAAAGCGAATGAGATGAACAGAGTAAGAAGATAGGGAGAGAGAGGTAGAGAAAGATAGCTGGGAATGAAGCAAGAGACAAAGAGGGAGTTAGACGGGTTAGAAAAAGAAAGAGTGTAACGGAGAAGGGAAGATAAAAAGAAAGAGAGAGAGATGAGCAGAGAGAGAAGGAGAGGCGGAGGGTTGTTGTGCGCTTTTCAAATGTAAAAATCAAAATCCCTGGCGGTGCAGAGCTGGTATCCCAGCTCCGGGCTTAGCTCCATGGCGATGATGAGTCACACAGATCTGTAGCCGTTCTCATTCAGGTGCACTAATATCCAACAGACACATGGAAAAAGGAGCTAACCCTTTGTTTGTGTAGCTTTAAATGTAGGACTGTAGAGTGGAAAATATCTGATTGTGTTTTTGTCTGACAAGCATTGCGATTAGATTTGCGACGTATGTTTCCATTCCAAGTTCACATTTTAAACGGCCAAAAATACTGATCCAACAAACTAATACAAGGACATGTTGGTACAGACGCACACCATTGCAGCCTTTGCGATTTGCTAATTGTGATTAATCTTGTAGCCCTACTTTAAAGGTCCATTATTACGCAAAATTGACTCATGTGAGCTTTATTAAACCGTGTTAGAATGTTGTTACCGCCTTGAAAATATCAAGTTGTGTTTGAGACATAGACTGTATAAAAGAAGTGGACTAATGAGTGTGACTTCACCCATAGTGTTCAGCGCCGCTCAAATGAGGCTCGCGATGCTCATGGTTACAGGAACGAATCTGGAGCCAGGCTTTATGTTATGAATAGATGACAGACAAAATAGCGAAAAAAAAAATTCAGGATCATGAAGAGCGCATTAATACAAACATTTTAAGACCAAAATGACGAGGCTCACTGCAGCAGGTACAGGTGTGACAAGATCCAAATGTAAGTCAATTGGAGCCAAGGTCAGAAGGAGCCAGAAGAGCCTCCTGGTGAACTTCCTATTTGGCATGCGGTGGCTAAAGCGTTAGCTATGTCCACTCATATATGCGGTCTATGGTT